TACCAGGCCTGCCTCTTGCCTTGCACACAGATGCTCTAATGCGCCGATCTCCTTAGACCTTGCATGCTGCCCCTTTGCTTACCCCATTCTCTCTCTCTCTTTCCCCTGCGCTGTCTTGCTCTAGCTTAGAACTGGAAGGGAAGTGGTGGGAGGAAGAGGAAAGTGGCAGGAAGGTTGGGGGGCGGGTGGTCTGTGTGAGTCACTAGGCTAGGAATGAAATGGATCTTATTAGAGGCTTTCATTTTTGCCAGATGTTTCTGATGAATAATTGAGACTCATCAGTTTTCCGGGTCCCTGACTGTCCTGGTAGTCTTTTTAGGCTTCTGCAGCTGCCTAGTGAGGCAGAGGCAATAAAGGCATCCAGCACGGAGTGGAGGTGTGACTGGCTGGAGAGTGGAGGCCTCACAGGTGTGGCCCATGCCACCAGGTAGAGGGGCAGAGCTGTTACCTTGGCCAGAAAGGCTCTTGGGAGAGCCTTGCTCCAGGACTGGATGCAAGGCCTGGACAAAAGCCATGTCACAGCATTCCTCCAGGTGCTGGGTGGCGCGGGATGGCCTGGGTGATCCCTTCCTTAACCAGTGCCCGGATGGGGCTGGCCCAGGTGCTCCCTCCGCTCCAGTCTGCGTTTCCTGCAGAGGAGGGAGTCGCATGGAGTAGCTGTGAAGGGTGGGGGAAGGAAAACTGCGTTTGGAGATAGAAGTGGAGGGACTGTAGAGGCAGGCACTGGAGCTCTGAGGTTCAGTTCCCATCTGTGGGAGTGCGGACAGCAGTCCTGAGTGTGCATGCGGCTCTTGGGGCTGGAGCCCTCCTAACTGCACGCACTCAGCCTGATGTCCCACCCAGAGGTACTCAAGGGGTTTGCAGTGACTTTTATTGGAAAAGAGGAACAATGTTTAGAAGACAAATTTGAGGTTAAGCAAAAGACGAGGCAGGACAAGAGTTTGTTTCATTGTAGTTTTTTTCTTCAAGTTTAATCTCAAGAGCAAGAAAACAGAAAATATGGGCTTATCTACAGGTATTACACTGTTCTGGCTCTTTCTTTCCTCCAACAAGCACTTATCGAATACCCACCAAGGGCTCCGTTAGACACAGAGGGGCTTTCAAAAGCTTGCAGCACAGAGAAGGGAAACAAGTAGAACGCAGGGTGGTAGGCATTTCAATAGCAGGATGCATGTGGTGCTGTGATACTCAGCAAGTCAAGGAAGGCTGCCTGGAGGAGGTGACTGGAGGACAGAATGGAACCTGGAACAAGGTACGAGTTGAGCAAAAACATTTCAGGCACAGGGACAGAGGGTGTGAAGGTGAGAAGAGAAAGGAACATGGTTGGCGGGTACATGCTCGTGTATACAGGTGACATGAGCTTGTGTTACCTGGAGTTGTGGGAAGGGAAACACTGAAAGACATGTGGCAGGGAGAATGGCTAAGGAGGCAGAAACGTAAGCAGATTATGAAATGTGGAGTGCTCTGCCAGGCAGGTGGGAGGTTTGTGAAGGCCAGAGGAATCCAGTAGATCTGTAGCGTGATCCGTTTGCAGGGGTAGAGACATGACCCTGGAATTATCATAAAGAATAAGCCTGCGGGGTTAATGCTAGACAGGACAGTGTGGGAACCCCTCCCTGTCTCCTCCTCCTGTGCAGCTTTGTGCTGGAAAGATGGGGTAGGGCAGTGGTCGGCAAACTGCGGCTCTGTTGACTAATGAGTTAGCCGACCACTGGGATAGGGGCTTAATCGCAAGGAACAACAACAGCCTGTAATTATAGGAATCGAGTGTCTAGGTCAGTGGTTGGCAAACTCATTGGTTAACAGAGCGGCAAACCGTGGCTCTCAAGCCGCAGTTTGCTGACCACTGGGTTAGGGTGAGGGGATAATTTGTGGACAGGGTGAGGGCAGACTGGATGAGGCTCCCCTGTGAGTGACTGCTCCCTGTGGGTCAGGGACAGGAGATGAGGCTGGAGAGGCCCCCAAAGCTTGTCCATGGGAACAGTGCACCGAGAGGAGGCTCTGGGCACCTAATGGCCATTTCCTGCTTCTATGGGCAGAGTTTTTTGACACGACAGATCAAAATCCCTCCTGATGGCTCTCTGTGGTGCTGCCCAGCAGGTAGCAGGCCCACAGAGGGACTCTCAGGCCCTCGGCCATGGGACTGAGCACAGAGGCCCAAAGAAGCATCTGTAGACAGCCCTGCCAGGCAAGGTGCCCAGGGGCGGGGGGGTACCAGTCAGCCTCCCCTGCATGCTGCAGAGTCCCTTGCCCACAAACAAGGTTTCCTTTCAGGGTATGGTAAGGAGCCAGGCCCTGCTGGGCTACATGCCTGGCCTGTGGCATCTCCCCTGGGTGGGGACCTGTACCCACATGCTGAGCACTATGCTTCGTTCCCCTCCGTCCCCACTGGGCCTCTTCTAGGCATGGCCAGGGAGAGGGAGCAGTGAGCTGGCATGAATGGGGGCTTGGTCTCAAAGCTGTATGAGTGTTGAGGGGAGCAAGAGATGAATAGCCCTGAGCCCATAGGTTAAGGGGACCAGATCATCCCGCTTTGGGCAGGACAGTCCCAATTTTCAACAAAAATCTTTCCAAAAATTGGGACTTGAGAAAAATTGTTAAATTGGGACTGTCCCGCCCAAAGCGGGATGTCTGGTCACCTTACCATAGGTGTATGTGGTGCCAGGCATACCATGTGTCAGGCGTGCCGAGGTCAGAGTCCTGTGCCATGGGTACGTGGGGTGACGGAATACAGCCACTACCTCTGCCCTGAGAACATGGAGCCTGGCTCCCACAAAGGTCTGCTGGTCCCATGGACTGCGAAAGCCACGTGTGCCTTAGACTCTCAAGGTTTCCTTAAACCTGCAGTCCCCAACCTTTAGAACCTCTCGGACCACTGGTTGGTGACCGCTGCCTTAGAGTCGGCCTCAGGCACAGGCTGGGCTCTTGCTCTGAAGGACTTGGGGGGTCCAGAGTTGAGCTCCTGCACAGGAGGGAAGCAAAACCTTTCACCCTAGAACAGTGGTCAGCAAACTGCGGCTTGTGCGAGCCACATGCGGCTCTTTGGCCCCTTGAGCATGGCTCTTCCACAAAATACCACATGCGGTATGTACAGAGCAATTGAAACTTTGTGGCCCATGTGCAGAAGTTGGTTTTCGGCTCTCAAAAGAAATTACAATTGTTGGCTCTGTTGACTAATGAGTTTGCCGACCACTGTCCTATAAGCAGCCATCGGGTGAATCTTCTCCCCTGGGATTCCAAAGCATGCTGAGGAGTGGACAGAGTGACATGGGTAACAGTGAGGGACTAAGAAAAGGGTCGTCTTGGCGGAGGCCTTTGGCTCTGTGGAGCCAGAAGGTCCTCTTCCTGTAGGGGGGAGAGTCAGTAGCCCCCCTTTTGCCTCATGAGAACCCGCCCTACCAGGACAGGAAATTCAGCGTAGGGAATATGTCCTGGATAGCAGGACACAGGAGGTTGGAGAGCATGCTGCACTTCAAACTCATGATGATGTAGCCACTGCCCCATAGGCAGATTTCTCCCCAAGGCCCTGGCACTACAACCTCAGGGGCAGGGCTTCCCAGCCACGAGCTTTAGGGTCCCAAGAAATCATCTCACCTGGAATCAAGGAGCCAGAAGTGTCTCCGATGTGTGGCATCCAAGACAGGTTCCTTCAGCCCTTGGGTACATGCACTTAGTGGGGACACCAGTGACACAGTCCCATCAAACAGCCCAGCTGAGCAGCCTGAGAAGGCGCCTCTATCTTGGGTGCCTGATTTGTCTGGGCCTCATCACTCCTGCGTAGCTCCATTGGCTATGGACATTCCTGTCCCCAACCCCCATGGCTCAGGGAGCCTCCTGGCTATGCTTCTCAGTGATAGGAAAGCTACTGTTAAATTCTCTGACTGTGTAGTGTTCTTACCTGTCATACTTGGCTTCATTCCGGAGTCTCTGTCAGCGGGCCCAGTGGTGTGTGCCTCGCAGGGGAAGGTGCCGTCCCCCTCCCACCCACAGACATCTTCCATGCAGTTCTGCCTCCCCATCTCCACTTCACCCTTCCCGCACGTCCATGGCCACAGCCAAAGGCCACCTGTGTCTTTCCTTGTTCCCACCTCCACTTCCTGGGAGCTGGGTCTGGCTTTTCAGGAGCGTGATGCCTGAGCTAGGTCTGCTATGACCGAGGCCAGATGTGGGGAGGCTAAGCGCTCCAGGCAGACGCCGGGCTCTGCCCTGAGAGGCGGTGATTGGCAGGAGGAGGCTGAGCCCCAGTGGCAGCCACAGCGGGGAGGTAGACTGGCGTGTCAGGAAGAACCTGTTGGTTGGACAACGGTGGAGCCACTGGAGGGCGATGGGAAGGGTGAGGCAGGCAGTGTGCAGAAGTGGTTGAGTGATGCTGCACAGGATGGGGGTATGTGTGTCTTATGTTATTGAAGTTCTATGTGGGCTATTCATACACCTGCCACCTTGAACTTGACCTTAAGCTATAGCCATAGCCTAGTACAGTGGTCAGCAAACTGCGGCTCACGAGCCACATATGGCTCGCAAGCTGCGGTTTGCCGCACTGTTGACTAATGAGTTTGCCAACTACTCCCTTAGGGAAAAACACTTAAAAACATTTTAATAATGTACTAATGTCTTTAACCTGAAGTCAAAACTTCTGGGTAAGGGTAATGCCTTACGCAGTGGTCGGCAAACTCATTAGTCAACAGAGCAGCAGACTGAGGCTCTCGAGCCCCAGTTTGCCGACCACTGGCCTAACACACAGCAAAGGCGTCATGGCCACCAGTGCACTTGAACCTGAGCCTCATGGTCTCTCCTCGCCAGGGAAAACCCCCCATTGTGCAGTGTGTGTCACCGGATAGAAGCTCTAGAAGGTCCATCTGTCACAGTTATTACCTAGGGAACAAATCTAGGTGCTCCCAGTTAGAGAGAGGGCTTACCAGGCGAGGCCTGAGGACAGCCGGCCAGGCCACGGCCATTCCCTCTTCCACCGGCTGCTCGTGACTCCTCTGTTCTCTCCACAGGCCCTGGCGCCGTCAGCGAGGTGAGCAACGGGACGCCGAGGAGGGCAGGCTGCCTCTGGCTGCTACCTCTCCTGGTCTTCCTCCTGCTCCAGTTTTGATGCGAGTGCCACCCCCGACCCGGGGAAGCTGCCGCCACTGCAACCATCGACCCTCCAGCAAAGGCACCTCCGACAGCAAGAGCAAACACCCCTTTCCAACCAAGATGCAATCCAACACCATTCCGAGCCACAGACAATTGGGACACAAATTCGAGGGAGGGGAACCGAGAACACTTTGGGCAAACGCATTTCAAAAGGACACTGAGAATCCATTGCCTTGCAGGCCGGGCCGATATGTAGGTACAGCTGAGTTTTCTTTATTTTCCCTGAGGGGAGGAGTGCGCCCCCAGCTTTGGATACCCACCCGCCCGCCAGCTGCATTGTCTCCGGGGTGACAGAGGGCTCAGCCCACCCCAGGGCCCCTGTCGAGGAAAATTCTGGAGTCGGCCACCCCCAAATTCAATCTGTCACTAGAAGCAAATGCAAAGTGAGGCACGCACCCCGATGTGTCCCTGCTGCAGACTGTGCCACTGTCCTGTGTGCTATGAAACGCCAATTTATTACAAAGCAGATCAATAAAAAGGAAACTAAACAAAACAACCTGCCAGCAGCCACCTCCCGCAGGCAGCAGCCACACAAACCCCGTTCACCTTTGCGTTCCTCTCACTCCATGGGCATCGTGGATCATAAGGGATTCCCGTTCACTCTTAATTCTCTTAATTCTCTTTTCTGACCCGAGTCTAGGACTTAGCTGGAAAGCAAGGCAAAACCACATACCACACACATGGAAGGGGTGACGAGACATATGTTTGTTAAAAAAAGATGAATACGGTAGTGCACCACTTAACTAGGTTTACAACTGGTGGACCCCAAGCCGGGCATTAACCTCCTGGCGAGGATTTGGCAAATCCACCAAAAAACAAAACACACACACACACACACACACACACACACACACACACACACGATTTAACCAATAGGTCCACCAGCGCTACAGCTTTCTCCTCATCCCGGCATTTAATGCAGACACGACTATGCTTCTCCATGCTATGTAGAGGTGGAAGGGGGGTCTGCACCTGACCTTGAGTTTGTTGGCTCTGCTTCTTTTGATGACATATATTATACAGTATATATATACATATATATACATATATTTTTTTCGTTGAGAGTTCTAGCCCTTTTCTTTCTCAGCAGGTGCGTTCTCAGACATTACTGCATGCTGTATATGGCGTTTAGCTGTGTGTTGACCTTCTAAAAAAGATGATAGCGTTTACTGGTAACTTGTGTAATCAGCTCCTGCCTCTATTTTTTTGTTTTTCTTTTTCGCGTTATCCACATGTCAGAGACATTTATACCAAGTGAAACGAGAAACGACACTCACACCGGGCGCAGCCTTTGTCCCGAGGGGTGGCTCCTCCATCCCGCACAAACACACCGCCGAACCAGCTAAACAGCCAGTAACCACTCGCTTGAGCCCTATGGGAATCTCTGATGCCTTTGTGACCACTGGAGAAATCGAACCCTCTTGGTTTCTTTTATTTAATTTCCCACCTGTGTGTGCGTGTGTATGAACGAGAAGAAAATGCAGTTTTTAGATAATCTTTTCTCCTCCTTCCCGGGGAGTCTGAGGACCAGAGAGGCCTCGGGGAGGGGTCCTGGGTGTGATGAGGGAAAGTGGGATTGGGGTGATGGGGAGGGAGGGGTTGTCTCTGACTTGACATTAAAAAGTGTTCCATGTCCCTCTTCACCTGGTGTGGTGCCTCATTCTGAGGGGGTGGAGGGGGGAGTGAGGAGGTGAGGGGATGTGGGCAGCAGAGCCGGGCTGGCTCTGATGTGCAGGACACCGAGGGGGACAGGACAGGCTCCTGATTCAAGCAACTGCTCTTTCAGCACCTTATTGGGGTGAGCTGGGCTCTTTCTGTGGTCTGTGCTTGGGTGACAAAACAGTCTGAAACTCCTTGTCCTCCTAACAGAAACAAGGGGGGGGGGGAGGGTAAGGGGCCTCGCAGGAGCTGTGTCTCCAATGCTGGCCAAGGCCGGTTGCACCCTGCTAGTGTCCAAGCTGCTCACCTCATAACCTGGGCACAATGTCAAGCCTAGTTAAGATAGGCTTTCAGAGGAGAGTGTTTTGAGGAGGCAGCCCAGGGCAGCCATCATGAAAAAGAAGGGGAAAGAGGAAAGGAAAGACCTGAAACAGTGTGGCTTGATATTAAATAATCCAACTCCCATCAACAAATGTGTTGGGGACTCTTCCCTCAATGCCCGCTATCCAAAGCTTGCTTCTAGTCACAACTTCAGAGGAAAAGTTGATTTTAATACAAAATATTTAAATCATTCTAAGCCGCTCTGGCTGATTCTGGGAATTAAATTGGAGCTGAGACTCACCGAGAGGCGGAAACCAGGACAGGGCTGAGACGCGCAGGGAATCCTATACCCAAGTCCTTGAGGGGGTGGTCAGTCCATCTGAGCAGTGTAGGACGTGTTGGTGAAGGAGGCGATTCATTTCTGGTGGCTGCTAGAAAAAATGAGAAAAGGTGGTTGACTTCATGACCTGCCCTTCTATCCCCATCCCCAGGTGTCAGATACAAACAACTGCTGCCCATCAAAATTGTCAGGGTCAGTGTGGCCACGCCTTGCAAATTTAGGCTGAATCAGTTCTAGAACAGCCAAAGCCAAGGGCTGGGGGGCGGTGCCCTCACAATGAGAGTGGGTGGGTGAGACTCGCTAGGCCTCTCATGCCTGGAACTTCTACAGACACCCATTGGAGGGTTTGGATGCCCAGCATGCTTCCTGGACCAGAGAGGGAAATACACAGGTAGTTACCATGTTGCTGAACTGGAGACCGGAAGCACCTCTGTGTAACATACACTAAGGCATCTGCACAGAGGGGCCTCCCAGACTTTGCTGGGGAGAGTACAGCAGCATATGGCCTCCATCTGAACCAAAACTTTTTTGTTTTGGCTACTAAACTTCCTTTGACCACTCTGTCACTGTCTTCCCAGGAGTCATTTGTAAAGGGACTCTGTCAACTCTGTAAAGTGGCATTCATGAGAAAGACTTCAGTTGACCTGTCTGCCAACTGCATTCCCCTTCCTGTCTGTGGTTACTTAGGGCTCTGTTTCATCGAGAGCATATCCCTGGTAGACCCAGCTTTGCCCTAACTCGGTGGTTGGCATATCGCAGCTTGTGAGCCACATGTGGCTCTTTCGCCCCTTGAGTGTGGCTCTTTCACAAAATAACGCTATTTTGAAGAAATGGCGTTAGAAGTTTAAAAAATTTGGCTCTCAAAAGAAATGTCCATCCTTGTACTGTTCATACTTGGCTCTGTTGACTAATGAGTTTGCCAACCACTGCCCTAACTGATGGGTTCGGCAGCTAGAACTTCCTAATCTGCCTCAAGGGGGCTTATTAGAGTAGTTAGGGTTTGAACATCTCCCTCTCCTCCCCACCACCACCACCACCACCACACACACACACACACACACACACACATCTTCTAAGTGTGCCAGCTGGGCCCGTATCTGCTGAATTTTAAAGGAAGCTACAGGTGCCCATGAGCAAGGGTCCTCAACCAGACTCACTGTTCAATCCAGGAGGACATGGCTTCAAGAGAACTTGTGGGGAGAGAGCTTTTTACCTCAGGAAAGGAGAGCATGGCAAACAGTATTCATTCATGTAAGCAGAGAAAAACATCTTGAGCACTGCATGAAGTTATGTTTCTTTGTACAGGCACTAATGGAGACCACTATGATAGGCTGGCCTGGATGTCAAGTGCACATGACCACTGTAGACTCAGACATATGTCACTACCATGCTTTAGGATTTATCCACCACCACAAACAGTAGGGTGGCCCCTTGATGGGATCATGATTTAGGTTTGGCAATTTTTTTTTTTTTTATGATAGTATTTCATAGTGTGTGTGGAGGGGCAAATGCGGGATGTTCAAGCCCTAATAGTCTAATCACTCCTGTAGAATTTCATCTTCCAACAGAATATCTGCTCCTCTCCAGCCACACAGATGTGCAGCAGCTCCCAAGTGATTTCCGTGAAAGGGGTTCAAATGCCTAACTTGGAGCATCGTGAACGTTGATCTAAGGACTGTCTTGATGAGTGGGACTTGCAACATTGGAACTATAGTCACAGTCAGTGGCCCAGGAATGTTCATTTTTCTTATTATAGGTATTGATGATGATGGTGGTGAGAAATGACAGTTACTGTTATTCAAGCTGGCGATAAGTCAGCCAATGGATTGACAGTCAAGTCTGATTGAGGTTAACACATTTCATTGGATCCCCCACTTTTTATCTTATACCCTTGAACCATGAGCTTCGAAGGTAAGAGTGTCACACTAGTCAGTCACAGGACTGACCCTTCAATGGGTTGATTTGATAAAAATGTAAAATCAGCAAAACATCCATTAGTTTCTATTCTTATCCTGGCAACTTTTTGAAGCACTTCTCACCAGAAGAGAAAAAGCTACCTGAAAGGAGACATGTTGTAAACTAGATGATGTTTGCTAACAATGAGTCTATATGCTCCTGTGTTGCTATTAGTCAGATGTACATGCACACACCAGCCATTCAGCCCTCATTCAAGCAATGGAAAGATTTGGAATTAGTGGTGTCTGAAAGAGGCACTAAATCATAACTCTTTCTAGCATTATTTTTAACCAAATCTCAGAAGTAATTTTGAATTTAATTGTGTAGTAGTGCCTCTTTTGTCATCTCAAAACTGCTCAATCAAGCCATTCTAAAGTCTTACTTCTTATCTGTCTCCTCTTAATTCAAATCCGATTTCCACAAGCATCCAAATCTATCTGCCTCCAAGGCAATAAACTCAAATTAATATTCCCATGATTTGAGTAACTGAGATCTCTAAGTCTGTGCCTTCATTTTCCTTTTCCTGTCTCCCACAACTCTGTATCTTTCACAGCATGTCCTTATCATGTGACCAGAACAAAGGGCTTTGTTTGAAAATCACTCCTAATTCCTGAGCTCAAGGTAAGATCATTTTTTTTCTTTTTAAAAATCTTCACCCAAGGATATTTTTTTCCATTGATTTTCAGACAAGAGTAGAAGCAGATGGGGAGGGGAGCAGAGAGAGACAGAGAGAGAGAAAAAGAAACAGATGTAAGAGAGACATATAGATTGGTTGCTTCCTGAACTCAGGGATCAAACCCACAACCAAGGTACTTGTCCTTGACAGAATCTAAACCTCAACCCTTCAGTCCATAAGCTGATTAACCACTGAGCCAAACCAGTCAGGGCAAGTTAAGAACAGTCTTATAATTTATGTCTGATGCATTATATTTTATAAAGGAGACTTGGTTTGGCTTTAGATTTTTTTTTTTTTTTTATCCTCACCCAAGGGTATATTTTCATTGATTTTTAGAGAGGGGGAAGGGAACCCTGTCTTCTTTAATCACATGTTCTATTCATTTTCTTTTATCTCTTCCTTATTTACTTTCTCCAATACGGTCTACTTTTCCTCATTCACTTCTTCAGTACAGCCTATCTTTACACTCACAACCAAAGAAACAAGATATCCAAGAAGAACCTATTTGGAAAAAAAAAAAAAATCAACAGTTTCATAAGGTTTACATCGGGCATTTAAGAGAGTAACATTATAATTTATTTATTTATTTATTTATTTATTTATTTATTTATTTATTTTAAATATATTTTATTGATTTTTTACAGAGAGGAAGGGAGAGAGATAGAGAGCTAGAAATGTCAATGAGAGAGAAACATCGACCAGCTGCCTCTTGCACACCCCCTACCGGGTATGTGCCCCCAACCAATGTACATGCCCTTGACAGGAATCGAGCCTGGGACCTTTCAGTCCACAGACCGACGCTCTACCACTGAGCCAAACCGGTTTTGGTGAGAGTAACATTATAATTTAGAGGAAAGCAATTTGATCTGGTTGGGCTCTACCCTTGAATATCCATTACTGATTCCTTTTAGTTAGATATACAATGCCCTAAGCTACACATCAGTGTGGATGATTTTCAAGGGTTTAGTTGACATCTGAGGCAATTCTATGCTACATGTTGCATCAATAGATCCAAACAACTTAGTTCACTTAGGACAATTGGCTGAACTCAGGTATATTCCTCCACTTTGGGCATCTGGTGAATAACCTGAATAGCCACATGAACAGAGTAATTAATGAAAAAGCCCTGGGTTCCATTCCTATAAGAGTTCCTTGAGGAGTGATGTCAGCAACATGACTAATAAGATGTCCATGTCATACGTAAACCCCTTGAACAACATTTAGCATCATCCATAGAAAACAAACAAACAAAAAAAGTGCCTTTGTGATTCTGTGGGACCCAGCACCATACATTGAGGGACTGAGAGAAGTCCTTCCCACCTGGGCATTAGGCAATGATGCTACAGACCTCAGTTCTGTTCTGGACCCTGCAGTGGTCCTTAACTAGTTGCAACCTCTCTCGGCCACAGTCAGGGGGCCTGGAGAACACTGTCTCACACAGTAAATGACACACTTGAGAGCCTTTATGGAAGTCATGTTTCCAGCAGAGAAGTTCCAGCAGAGCATTAGAGCTAAAAATAGCTTGGAAAGAGAGAGAGGAGCAGTTTGCCTTTGTGTATAACCCACCTTCATGGCGGCATAGCTGAGTCCAAGTAAAACATTCTCAGCCTATGATTTTTTCCTGCAGGGGAAGTAAGAGTGGGTGGCTCCCCAAGATGTGTGGAATGTTGCCAAAGAGGCCCTCTTCCCCC